GTCAATGTCGATAAAGTAGACGCAGGAGTAGTATTTACTGTGGAAGTAGATGGTTCCGCTGTGGATGATGTCAATGTGGATAAAGTAGACGCAGTAGTAGTAATTACTGTAGAAGTAGATGGTTCCGCTGTGGATGATGTCAATGTGGATAAAGTAGATGCAGGAGTGGTAATGATTGTGGAAGTAGATGGTTCATCTGTAGATGATGTCATAGTGGATAAAGTAGACGGAGGAGTAGTAATTACTGTAGAAGTAGATGGTTCCGCTGTGGATGATGTCAATGTGGATAAAGTAGACGCAGGAGTAGTAATTACTGTAGAAGTAGATGGTTCCACTGTGGATGATGTCAATGTGGATAAAGTAGACGCAGGAGTAGTAATTACTGTAGAAGTAGATGGTTCCGCTGTGGATGATGTCAATGTGGATAAAGTAGACGCAGGAGTGGTAATGATTGTGGAAGTAGATGGTTCATCTGTAGATGATGTCATAGTGGATAAAGTAGACGGATGAGTAGTAATAACTGTGGAAGTAGATGGTTCCGCTGTGGATGATGTCAATGTCGATAAAGTAGACGCAGGAGTAGTAATTACTGTGGAAGTAGATGGTTCCGCTGTAGATGATGTCATAGTGGATAAAGTAGACGGAGGAGTAGTAATTACTGTGGAAGTAGATGGTTCCGCTGTGGATGATGTCAATGTCGATAAAGTAGACGCAGGAGTAGTATTTACTGTGGAAGTAGATGGTTCCGCTGTGGATGATGTCAATGTGGATAAAGTAGACGCAGTAGTAGTAATTACTGTAGAAGTAGATGGTTCCGCTGTGGATGATGTCAATGTGGATAAAGTAGATGCAGGAGTGGTAATGATTGTGGAAGTAGATGGTTCATCTGTAGATGATGTCATAGTGGATAAAGTAGACGGATGAGTAGTAATAACTGTGGAAGTAGATGGTTCCGCTGTGGATGATGTCAATGTCGATAAAGTAGACGCAGGAGTAGTAATTACTGTGGAAGTAGATGGTTCCGCTGTAGATGATGTCATAGTGGATAAAGTAGACGGAGGAGTAGTAATTACTGTGGAAGTAGATGGTTCCGCTGTGGATGATGTCAATGTCGATAAAGTAGACGCAGGAGTAGTATTTACTGTGGAAGTAGATGGTTCCGCTGTGGATGATGTCAATGTAGATAAAGTAGAGGCAGGAGTAGTATTTACTGTGGAAGTAGATGGTTCCGCTGTGGATGATGTCAATGTGGGTAAAGTAGATGCAGGAGTGGTAATGATTGTGGAAGTAGATGGTTCATCTGTAGATGATGTCATAGTGGATAAAGTAGACGGAGGAGTAGTAATTACTGTGGAAGTAGATGGTTCCGCTGTGGATGATGTCAATGTGGATAAAGTAGACGCAGGAGTAGTAAATACTGTAGAAGTAGATGGTTCCGCTGTGGATGATGTCAATGTGGATAAAGTAGATGCAGGAATGGTAATGATTGTGGAAGTAGATGGTTCATCTGTAGATGATGTCATAGTGGATAAAGTAGACGGAGGAGTAGTAATTACTGTGGAAGTAGATGGTTCCGCTGTGGATGATGTCAATGTGGATAAAGTAGACGCAGGAGTAGTAATTACTGTGGAAGTAGATGGTTCCGCTGTGGATGATGTCAATGTGGATAAAGTAGATGCAGGAGTGGTAATGATTGTGGAAGTAGATGGTTCATCTGTAGATGATGTCATAGTGGATAAAGTAGACGCAGGAGTAGTAATTACTGTGGAAGTAGATGGTTCCGCTGTGGATGATGTCAATGTGGATAAAGTAGACGCAGGAGTAGTAATTACTGTGGAAGTAGATGGTTCCGCTGTGGATGATGTCAATGTGGATAAAGTAGATGCAGGAGTGGTAATGATTGTGGAAGTAGATGGTTCATCTGTAGATGATGTCATAGTGGATAAAGTAGACGGAGGAGTAGTAATTACTGTAGAAGTAGATGGTTCCGCTGTGGATGATGTCAATGTGGATAAAGTAGACGCAGGAGTAGTAATTACTGTAGAAGTAGATGGTTCCGCTGTGGATGATGTCAATGTGGATAAAGTAGACGCAGGAGTAGTAATTACTGTAGAAGTAGATGGTTCCGCTGTGGATGATGTCAATGTGGATAAAGTAGACGCAGGAGTGGTAATGATTGTGGAAGTAGATGGTTCATCTGTAGATGATGTCATAGTGGATAAAGTAGACGGATGAGTAGTAATAACTGTGGAAGTAGATGGTTCCGCTGTGGATGATGTCAATGTCGATAAAGTAGACGCAGGAGTAGTAATTACTGTGGAAGTAGATGGTTCCGCTGTAGATGATGTCATAGTGGATAAAGTAGACGGAGGAGTAGTAATTACTGTGGAAGTAGATGGTTCCGCTGTGGATGATGTTAATGTGGATAAAGTAGACGCAGGAGTGGTAATGATTGTGGAAGTAGATGGTTCATCTGTAGATGATGTCATAGTGGATAAAGTAGACGGAGGAGTAGTTATTACTGTGGAAGTAGATGGTTCCGCTGTGGATGATGTCAATGTAGATAAAGTAGAGGCAGGAGTAGTATTTACTGTGGAAGTAGATGGTTCCGCTGTGGATGATGTCAATGTGGGTAAAGTAGATGCAGGAGTGGTAATGATTGTGGAAGTAGATGGTTCATCTGTAGATGATGTCATAGTGGATAAAGTAGACGGAGGAGTAGTAATTACTGTGGAAGTAGATGGTTTCGCTGTGGATGATGTCAATGTGGATAAAGTAGACGCAGGAGTAGTAATTACTGTAGAAGTAGATGGTTCCGCTGTGGATGATGTCAATGTGGATAAAGTAGATGCAGGAGTGGTAATGATTGTGGAAGTAGATGGTTCATCTGTAGATGATGTCATAGTGGATAAAGTAGACGGAGGAGTAGTAATTACTGTGGAAGTAGATGGTTCCGCTGTGGATGATGTCAATGTGGATAAAGTAGACGCAGGAGTAGTAATTACTGTGGAAGTAGATGGTTCCGCTGTGGATGATGTCAATGTGGATAAAGTAGATGCAGGAGTGGTAATGATTGTGGAAGTAGATGGTTCATCTGTAGATGATGTCATAGTGGATAAAGTAGACGCAGGAGTAGTAATTACTGTGGAAGTAGATGGTTCCGCTGTGGATGATGTCAATGTGGATAAAGTAGACGCAGGAGTAGTAATTACTGTAGAAGTAGATGGTTCCGCTGTGGATGATGTCAATGTGGATAAAGTAGACGCAGGAGTAGTAATTACTGTAGAAGTAGATGGTTCCGCTGTGGATGATGTCAATGTGGATAAAGTAGACGCAGGAGTGGTAATGATTGTGGAAGTAGATGGTTCATCTGTAGATGATGTCATAGTGGATAAAGTAGACGGATGAGTAGTAATAACTGTGGAAGTAGATGGTTCCGCTGTGGATGATGTCAATGTCGATAAAGTAGACGCAGGAGTAGTAATTACTGTGGAAGTAGATGGTTCCGCTGTGGATGATGTCAATGTGGATAAAGTAGACGCAGGAGTAGTAATTACTGTAGAAGTAGATGGTTCCGCTGTGGATGATGTCAATGTGGATAAAGTAGATGCAGGAATGGTAATGATTGTGGAAGTAGATGGTTCATCTGTAGATGATGTCATAGTGGATAAAGTAGACGGAGGAGTAGTAATTACTGTGGAAGTAGATGGTTCCGCTGTGGATGATGTCAATGTGGATAAAGTAGACGCAGGAGTAGTAATTACTGTAGAAGTAGATGGTTCCGCTGTGGATGATGTCAATGTGGATAAAGTAGATGCAGGAGTGGTAATGATTGTGGAAGTAGATGGTTCATCTGTAGATGATGTCATAGTGGATAAAGTAGACGCAGGAGTAGTAATTACTGTGGAAGTAGATGGTTCCGCTGTGGATGATGTCAATGTGGATAAAGTAGACGCAGGAGTAGTAATTACTGTGGAAGTAGATGGTTCCGCTGTGGATGATGTCAATGTGGATAAAGTAGATGCAGGAGTGGTAATGATTGTGGAAGTAGATGGTTCATCTGTAGATGATGTCATAGTGGATAAAGTAGACGGAGGAGTAGTAATTACTGTAGAAGTAGATGGTTCCGCTGTGGATGATGTCAATGTGGATAAAGTAGACGCAGGAGTAGTAATTACTGTAGAAGTAGATGGTTCCGCTGTGGATGATGTCAATGTGGATAAAGTAGACGCAGGAGTAGTAATTACTGTGGAAGTAGATGGTTCCGCTGTGGATGATGTCAATGTGGATAAAGTAGACGCAGGAGTGGTAATGATTGTGGAAGTAGATGGTTCATCTGTAGATGATGTCATAGTGGATAAAGTAGACGGATGAGTAGTAATAACTGTGGAAGTAGATGGTTCCGCTGTGGATGATGTCAATGTCGATAAAGTAGACGCAGGAGTAGTAATTACTGTGGAAGTAGATGGTTCCGCTGTAGATGATGTCATAGTGGATAAAGTAGACGGAGGAGTAGTAATTACTGTGGAAGTAGATGGTTCCGCTGTGGATGATGTTAATGTGGATAAAGTAGACGCAGGAGTGGTAATGATTGTGGAAGTAGATGGTTCATCTGTAGATGATGTCATAGTGGATAAAGTAGACGGAGGAGTAGTTATTACTGTGGAAGTAGATGGTTCCGCTGTGGATGATGTCAATGTAGATAAAGTAGAGGCAGGAGTAGTATTTACTGTGGAAGTAGATGGTTCCGCTGTGGATGATGTCAATGTGGGTAAAGTAGATGCAGGAGTGGTAATGATTGTGGAAGTAGATGGTTCATCTGTAGATGATGTCATAGTGGATAAAGTAGACGGAGGAGTAGTAATTACTGTGGAAGTAGATGGTTCGCTGTGGATGATGTCAATGTGGATAAAGTAGACGCAGGAGTAGTAATTACTGTAGAAGTAGATGGTTCCGCTGTGGATGATGTCAATGTGGATAAAGTAGATGCAGGAGTGGTAATGATTGTGGAAGTAGATGGTTCATCTGTAGATGATGTCATAGTGGATAAAGTAGACGGAGGAGTAGTAATTACTGTGGAAGTAGATGGTTCCGCTGTGGATGATGTCAATGTGGATAAAGTAGACGCAGGAGTAGTAATTACTGTAGAAGTAGATGGTTCCGCTGTGGATGATGTCAATGTGGATAAAGTAGATGCAGGAGTGGTAATGATTGTGGAAGTAGATGGTTCATCTGTAGATGATGTCATAGTGGATAAAGTAGACGCAGGAGTAGTAATTACTGTGGAAGTAGATGGTTCCGCTGTGGATGATGTCAATGTGGATAAAGTAGACGCAGGAGTAGTAATTACTGTAGAAGTAGATGGTTCCGCTGTGGATGATGTCAATGTGGATAAAGTAGACGCAGGAGTAGTAATTACTGTAGAAGTAGATGGTTCCGCTGTGGATGATGTCAATGTGGATAAAGTAGACGCAGGAGTGGTAATGATTGTGGAAGTAGATGGTTCACCTGTAGATGATGTCATAGTGGATAAAGTAGACGCAGGAGTAGTAATTACTGTGGAAGTAGATGGTTCCGCTGTGGATGATGTCAATGTGGATAAAGTAGACGCAGGAGTGGTAATGATTGTGGAAGTAGATGGTTCATCTGTAGATGATGTCATAGTGGATAAAGTAGACGCAGGAGTAGTAATTACTGTGGAAGTAGATGGTTCCGCTGTGGATGATGTCAATGTGGATAGAGTAGACGCAGGAGTAGTAATTACTGTAGAAGTAGATGGTTCCGCTGTGGATGATGTCAATGTGGATAAAGTAGATGCAGGAGTGGTAATGATTGTGGAAGTAGATGGTTCATCTGTAGATGATGTCATAGTGGATAAAGTAGACGGAGGAGTAGTAATTACTGTAGAAGTAGATGGTTCCGCTGTGGATGATGTCAATGTGGATAAAGTAGACGCAGGAGTAGTAATTACTGTGGAAGTAGATGGTTCCGCTGTGGATGATGTCAATGTGGATAAAGTAGACGCAGGAGTAGTAATTACTGTGGAAGTAGATGGTTCCGCTGTGGATGATGTCAATGTGGATAGAGTAGACGCAGGAGTAGTAATTACTGTAGAAGTAGATGGTTCCGCTGTGGATGATGTCAATGTGGATAAAGTAGATGCAGGAGTAGTAATTACTGTGGAAGTAGATGGTTCCGCTGTGGATGATGTCAATGTGGATAAAGTAGACGCAGGAGTAGTAATTACTGTGGAAGTAGATGGTTCCGCTGTGGATGATGTCAATGTGGATAGAGTAGACGCAGGAGTAGTAATTACTGTGGAAGTAGATGGTTCCGCTGTGGATGATGTCAATGTGGATAAGAGTAGACGCAGGAGTAGTAATTACTGTAGAAGTAGATGGTTCCGCTGTGGATGATGTCAATGTGGATAAAGTAGATGCAGGAGTAGTAATTACTGTGGAAGTAGATGGTTCCGCTGTGGATGATGTCAATGTGGATAAAGTAGACGCAGGAGTAGTAATTACTGTGGAAGTAGATGGTTCCGCTGTGGATGATGTCAATGTGGATAGAGTAGACGCAGGAGTAGTAATTACTGTAGAAGTAGATGGTTCCGCTGTGGATGATGTCAATGTGGATAAAGTAGATGCAGGAGTAGTAATTACTGTGGAAGTAGATGGTTCCGCTGTGGATGATGTCAATGTGGATAAAGTAGACGCAGGAGTAGTAATTACTGTGGAAGTAGATGGTTCCGCTGTGGATGATGTCAATGTGGATAGAGTAGACGCAGGAGTAGTAATTAGTGTGGAAGTAGATGGTTCCGCTGTGGATGATGTCAATGTGGATAGAGTAGACGAAGGAGTAGTAATTACTGTAGAAGTAGATGGTTCCGCTGTGGATGATGTCATAGTGGATAAAGTAGACGCAGGAGTAGTAATTACTGTGGAAGTAGATGGTTCCGCTGTGGATGATGTCAATGTGGATAAAGTAGACGCAGGAGTAGTAATTACTGTGGAAGTAGATGGTTCCGCTGTGGATGATGTCAATGTGGATAGAGTAGACGCAGGAGTAGTAATTACTGTAGAAGTAGATGGTTCCGCTGTGGATGATGTCAATGTGGATAAAGTAGATGCAGGAGTGGTAATGATTGTGGAAGTAGATGGTTCATCTGTAGATGATGTCATAGTGGATAAAGTAGACGGAGGAGTTGTAATTACTGTAGAAGTAGATGGTTCCGCTGTGGATGATGTCAATGTGGATAAAGGAGACGCAGGAGTAGTAATTACTGTAGAAGTAGATGGTTCATCTGTAGACGATGTCAATGTGGATAAAGTAGACGCAGGAGTGGTAATGATTGTGGAAGTAGATGGTTCATCTGTAGATGATGTCATAGTGGATAAAGTAGACGCAGGAGTAGTAATTACTGTGGAAGTAGATGGTTCCGCTGTGGATGATGTCAATGTGGATAGAGTAGACGCAGGAGTAGTAATTACTGTCGAAGTAGATGGTTCCGCTGTGGATGATGTCAATGTCGAGAAAGTAGACGCAGGAGTGGTAATGATTGTGAAAGTAGATGGTTCATCTGTAGATGATGTCATAGTGGATAAAGTAGACGGAGGAGTAGTAATTACTGTGGAAGTAGATGGTTCCGCTGTGGATGATGTCAATGTCGATAAAGTAGACGCAGGAGTAGTAATTACTGTAGAAGTAGATGGTTCCGCTGTGGATGATGTCAATGTGGATAAAGTAGATGCAGGAGTGGTAATGATTGTGGAAGTAGATGGTTCATCTGTAGATGATGTCATAGTGGATAAAGTAGACGCAGGAGTAGTAATTACTGTAGAAGTAGATGGTTCATCTGTAGATGATGTCAATGTGGATAAAGTAGACGCAGGAGTGGTAATGATTGTGGAAGTAGATGGTTCATCTGTAGATGATGTCATAGTGGATAAAGTAGACGCAGGAGTAGTAATTACTGTGGAAGTAGATGGTTCCGCTGTGGATGATGTCAGTGTGGATAGAGTAGACGCAGGAGTAGTAATTACTGTGGAAGTAGATGGTTCCGCTGTGGATGATGTCAATGTCGATAAAGTAGACGCAGGAGTGGTAATGATTGTGAAAGTAGATGGTTCCTCTGTAGACGTTGTCATAGTGGATAAAGTAGACGCAGGAGTAGTAATTACTGTGGCAGTAGATGGTTCCGCTGTGGATGATGTCAATGTGGATAAAGTAGACGCAGGAGTGGTAATGATTGTGGAAGTAGATGGTTCATCTGTAGATGATGTCATAGTGGATAAAGTAGACGCAGGAGTAGTAATTACTGTGGAAGTAGATGGTTCCGCTGTCAATGATGTCAATGTGGATAGAGTAGACGCAGGAGTAGTAATTACTGTGGAAGTAGATGGTTCCGCTGTGGATGATGTCAATGTCGATAAAGTAGACGCAGGAGTAGTAACTACTGTGGAAGTAGATGGTTCCGCTGTGGATGATGTCAATGTGGATAAAGTAGACGCAGGAGTGGTAATGATTGTGGAAGTAGATGGTTCCGCTGTGGATGATGTCAATGTCGATAAAGTAGACGCAGGAGTGGTAATGATTGTGAAAGTAGATGGTTCCTCTGTAGACGTTGTCATAGTGGATAAAGTAGACGCAGGAGTAGTAATTACTGTGGCAGTAGATGGTTCCGCTGTGGATGATGTCAATGTGGATAAAGTAGACGCAGGAGTGGTAATGATTGTGGAAGTAGATGGTTCCGCTGTGGATGATGTTAATGTGGATAAAGTAGACGCAGGAGTGGTAATGATTGTGGAAGTAGATGGTTCATCTGTAGATGATGTCATAGTGGATAAAGTAGACGGAGGAGTAGTTATTACTGTGGAAGTAGATGGTTCCGCTGTGGATGATGTCAATGTCGATAAAGTAGACGCAGGAGTAGTAATTACTGTGGAAGTAGATGGTTCCGCTGTGGATGATGTCAATGTGGATAAAGTAGACGCAGGAGTAGTAATAACTTTGGAAGTAGATGGTTCCGCTGTGGATGATGTAAATGTCGATAAAGTAGACGCAGGAGTACTAATTACTGTGGAAGTAGATGGTTCCGCTGTAGATGATGTCATAGTGGATAAAGTGGACGGAGGAGTAGTAATTACTGTGGAAGTAGATGGTTCGGCTGTGGATGATGTCAATGTCGATAAAGTAGACGCAGGAGTAGTATTTACTGTGGAAGTAGATGGTTCCGCTGTGGATGATGTTAATGTGGATAAGGTAGACGCAGGAGTGGTAATGATTGTGGAAGTAGATGGTTCATCTGTAGATGATGTCATAGTGGATAAAGTAGACGGAGGAGTAGTTATTACTGTGGAAGTAGATGGTTCCGCTGTGGATGATGTCAATGTAGATAAAGTAGAGGCAGGAGTAGTATTTACTGTGGAAGTAGATGGTTCCGCTGTGGATGATGTCAATGTGGGTAAAGTAGATGCAGGAGTGGTAATGATTGTGGAAGTAGATGGTTCATCTGTAGATGATGTCATAGTGGATAAAGTAGAAGCAGGAGTAGTAATTACTGTGGAAGTAGATGGTTCCGCTGTGGATGATGTCAATGTGGATAAAGTAGACGCAGGAGTAGTAATTACTGTGTAAGTAGATGGTTCCGCTGTGGATGATGTCAATGTGGATAAAGTAGACGCAGGAGTAGTAATTACTGTGGAAGTAGATGGTTCCGCTGTGGATGATGTCAATGTGGATAAAGTAGACGCAGGAGTAGTAATTACTGTGGAAGTAGATGGTTCCGCTGTGGATGATGTCAATGTCGATAAAGTAGACGCAGGAGTAGTAATTACTGTGGAAGTAGATGGTTCCGCTGTGGATGATGTCAATGTGGATAAAGTAGACGCAGGAGTAGTAATTACTGTGGAAGTAGATGGTTCCGCTGTGGATGATGTCAATGTGGGTAAAGTAGATGCAGGAGTGGTAATGATTGTGGAAGTAGATGGTTCATCTGTAGATGATGTCATAGTGGATAAAGTAGACGCAGGAGTAATAATTACTGTGGAAGTAGATGGTTCCGCTGTGGATGATGTCAATGTGGATAAAGTAGACGCAGGAGTAGTAATTACTGTGGAAGTAGATGGTTCTGCTGTGGATGATGTCAATGTCGATAAAGTAGACGCAGGAGTAGTAACTACTGTGGAAGTAGATGGTTCCGCTGTGGATGATGTCAATGTGGATAAAGTAGACGCAGGAGTAGTAATTACTGTGGCAGTAGATGGTTCCGCTGTGGATGATGTCAATGTGGATAAAGTAGACGCAGGACTAGTAATTACTGTGGAAGTAGATGGTTCCGCTGTGGATGATGTCAATGTGGATAAAGTAGACGCAGGAGTGGTAATCATTGTGGAAGTAGATGGTTCATCTGTAGATGATGTCATAGTGGATAAAGTAGACGGAGGAGTAGTAATTACTGTGGAAGTAGATGGTTTCGCTGTGGATGATGTCAATGTGGATAAAGTAGACGCAGGAGTAGTAATTACTGTGAAAGTAGATGGTTCATCTGTAGATGATGTCATTGTGGATAAAGTAGACGGAGGAGTAGTAATTACTGTGGAAGTAGATGGTTCCGCTGTTGATGATGTCAATGTGGATAAAGTAGACGGAGAATTAGTAATTCTTGTGGAAGTAGATGGTTCATCTGTAGATGATGTCATAGTGGATAAAGTAGACGCAGGAGTGGTAATTACTGTGGAAGTAGATGGTTCCGCTGTGGATGATGTCAATGTGGGTAAAGTAGACGCAGGAGTAGTAATTACTGTGGAAGTAGATGGTTCCGCTGTGGATGATGTCAATGTCGATAAAGTAGACGCAGGAGTAGTAATTACTGTGGAAGTATATGGTTCCACTGTGGATGATGTCAATGTGGATAAAGTAGACGCAGGAGTGGTAATCATTGTGGAAGTAGATGGTTCATCTGTAGATGATGTCATTGTGGATAAAGTAGACGGAGGAGTAGTAATTTCTGTGGAAGTAGATGGTTCCGCTGTGGATGATGTCAATGTGGATAAAGTAGACGCAGGAGTAGTAATTACTGTGGAAGTAGATGGTTCCGCTGTGGATGATGTCAATGTCGATAAAGTAGACGCAGGAGTAGTAATTACTGTGGAAGTAGATGGTTCCGCTGTGGATGATGTCAATGTGGATAAAGTAGACGCAGGAGTAGTAATTACTGTGGAAGTAGATGGTTCCGCTGTGGATGATGTCAATGTCGATAAAGTAGACGCAGGAGTAGTAATTACTGTGGAAGTAGATGGTTTCGCTGTGGATGATGTCAATGTGGATAAAGTAGACGCAGGAGTAGTAATTACTGTGGAAGTAGATGGTTCCGCTGTGGATGATGTCAATGTGGATAAAGTAGACGCAGGAGTAGTAATTACTGTGGAAGTAGATGGTTTCGCTGTGGATGATGTCAATGTGGATAAAGTAGACGCAGGAGTAGTAATTACTGTGGAAGTAGATGGTTCCGCTGTGGATGATGTCAATGTGGATAAAGTAGACGCAGGAGTAGTAATTACTGTGGAAGTAGATGGTTCCGCTGTGGATGATGTCAATGTGGATAAAGTAGACGCAGGAGTAGTAATTACTGTGGAAGTAGATGGTTCCGCTGTAGATGATGTCAATGTGGATAAAGTAGACGCAGGAGTAGTAATTACTGTGGAAGTAGATGGTTCCGCTGTGGATGATGTCAATGTGGATAAAGTAGACGCAGGAGTAGTAATTACTGTGGAAGTAGATGGTTCCGCTGTGGATGATGTCAATGTGGATAAAGTAGACGCAGGAGTAGTAATTACTGTGGAAGTAGATGGTTCGCTGTGGATGATGTCAATGTGGATAAAGTAGACGCAGGAGTAGTAATTACTGTGGAAGTAGATGGTTCCGCTGTGGATGATGTCAATGTGGATAAAGTAGACGCAGGAGTAGTAATTACTGTGGAAGTAGATGGTTCCGCTGTGGATGATGTCAATGTGGATAAAGTAGACGCAGGAGTAGTAATTACTGTGGAAGTAGATGGTTCCGCTGTGGATGATGTCAATGTGGATAAAGTAGACGCAGGAGTAGTAATTACTGTGGAAGTAGATGGTTCCGCTGTAGATGATGTCAATGTGGATAAAGTAGACGCAGGAGTAGTAATTACTGTGGAAGTAGATGGTTCCGCTGTGGATGATGTCAATGTGGATAAAGTAGACGCAGGAGTAGTAATTACTGTGGAAGTAGATGGTTCCGCTGTGGATGATGTCAATGTGGATAAAGTAGACGCAGGAGTAGTAATTACTGTGGAAGTAGATGGTTCCGCTGTGGATGATGTCAATGTGGATAAAGTAGACGCAGGAGTAGTAATTACTGTGGAAGTAGATGGTTCCGCTGTGGATGATGTCAATGTGGATAAAGTAGACGCAGGAGTAGTAATTACTGTGGAAGTAGATGGTTCCGCTGTGGATGATGTCAATGTGGATAAAGTAGACGCAGGAGTAGTAATTACTGTGGAAGTAGATGGTTTCGCTGTGGATGATGTCAATGTGGATAAAGTAGACGCAGGAGTAGTAATTACTGTGGAAGTAGATGGTTCCGCTGTGGATGATGTCAATGTGGATAAAGTAGACGCAGGAGTAGTAATTACTGTGGAAGTAGATGGTTCCGCTGTGGATGATGTCAATGTGGATAAAGTAGACGCAGGAGTAGTAATTACTGTGGAAGTAGATGGTTCCGCTGTGGATGATGTCAATGTGGATAAAGTAGACGCAGGAGTAGTAATTACTGTGGAAGTAGATGGTTTCGCTGTGGATGATGTCAATGTGGATAAAGTAGACGCAGGAGTAGTAATTACTGTGGAAGTAGATGGTTCCGCTGTGGATGATGTCAATGTGGATAAAGTAGACGCAGGAGTAGTAATTACTGTGGAAGTAGATGGTTTCGCTGTGGATGATGTCAATGTGGATAAAGTAGACGCAGGAGTAGTAATTACTGTGGAAGTAGATGGTTCCGCTGTGGATGATGTCAATGTGGATAAAGTAGACGCAGGAGTAGTAATTACTGTGGAAGTAGATGGTTCCGCTGTGGATGATGTCAATGTGGATAAAGTAGACGCAGGAGTAGTAATTACTGTGGAAGTAGATGGTTCCGCTGTGGATGATGTCAATGTCGATAAAGTAGACGCAGGAGTAGTAATTACTGTGGAAGTAGATGGTTCCGCTGTGGATGATGTCAATGTGGATAAAGTAGACGCAGGAGTAGTAATTACTGTGGAAGTAGATGGTTCCGCTGTGGATGATGTCAATGTGGTAAAGTAGATGCAGGAGTGGTAATGATTGTGGAAGTAGATGGTTCATCTGTAGATGATGTCATAGTGGATAAAGTAGACGCAGGAGTAGTAATTACTGTGGAAGTAGATGGTTCCGCTGTGGATGATGTCAATGTGGATAAAGTAGACGCAGGAGTAGTAATTACTGTGGAAGTAGATGGTTCTGCTGTGGATGATGTCAATGTCGATAAAGTAGACGCAGGAGTAGTAACTACTGTGGAAGTAGATGGTTCCGCTGTGGATGATGTCAATGTGGATAAAGTAGACGCAGGAGTAGTAATTACTGTGGCAGTAGATGGTTCCGCTGTGGATGATGTCAATGTGGATAAAGTAGACGCAGGACTAGTAATTACTGTGGAAGTAGATGGTTCCGCTGTGGATGATGTCAATGTGGATAAAGTAGACGCAGGAGTGGTAATCATTGTGGAAGTAGATGGTTCATCTGTAGATGATGTCATAGTGGATAAAGTAGACGGAGGAGTAGTAATTACTGTGGAAGTAGATGGTTCCGCTGTGGATGATGTCAATGTGGATAAAGTAGACGCAGGAGTAGTAATTACTGTGAAAGTAGATGGTTCATCTGTAGATGATGTCATTGTGGATAAAGTAGACGGAGGAGTAGTAATTACTGTGGAAGTAGATGGTTCCGCTGTTGATGATGTCAATGTGGATAAAGTAGACGGAGAATTAGTAATTCTTGTGGAAGTAGATGGTTCATCTGTAGATGATGTCATAGTGGATAAAGTAGACGCAGGAGTAGTAATTACTGTGGAAGTAGATGGTTCCGCTGTGGATGATGTCAATGTGGATAAAGTAGACGCAGGAGTAGTAATTACTGTGGAAGTAGATGGTTCCGCTGTGGATGATGTCAATGTCGATAAAGTAGACGCAGGAGTAGTAATTACTGTGGAAGTATATGGTTCCACTGTGGATGATGTCAATGTGGATAAAGTAGACGCAGGAGTGGTAATCATTGTGGAAGTAGATGGTTCATCTGTAGATGATGTCATTGTGGATAAAGTAGACGGAGGAGTAGTAATTACTGTGGAAGTAGATGGTTCCGCTGTGGATGATGTCAATGTGGATAAAGTAGACGCAGGAGTAGTAATTACTGTGGAAGTAGATGGTTCCGCTGTGGATGATGTCAATGTGGATAAAGTAGACGGAGGAGTAGTAATTTCTGTGGAAGTAGATGGTTCCGCTGTGGATGATGTCAATGTGGATAAAGTAGACGCAGGAGTAGTAATTACTGTGGAAGTAGATAATTCCGCTGTGGATGATGTCAATGTGGATAAAGTAGACGGAGGAGTAGTAATTACTGTGGAAGTAGATGGTTCGCTGTGGATGATGTCAATGTGGATAAAGTAGACGCAGGAGTAGTAATTACTGTGGAAGTAGATGGTTCCGCTGTGGATGATGTCAATGTGGATAAAGTAGACGCAGGAGTAGTAATTACTGTGGAAGTAGATGGTTCCGCTGTAGATGATGTCAATGTGGATAAAGTAGACGCAGGAGTAGTAATTACTGTGGAAGTAGATGGTTCCGCTGTGGATGATGTCAATGTGGATAAAGTAGACGCAGGAGTAGTAATTACTGTGGAAGTAGATGGTTCCGCTGTGGATGATGTCAATGTGGATAAAGTAGACGCAGGAGTAGTAATTACTGTGGAAGTAGATGGTTCCGCTGTGGATGATGTCAATGTGGATAAAGTAGACGGAGGAGTAGTAATTACTGTGGAAGTAGATGGTTCCGCTGTGGATGATGTCAATGTGGATAAAGTAGACGCAGGAGTAGTAATTACTGTGGAAGTAGATGGTTTCGCTGTGGATGATGTCAATGTGGATAAAGTAGACGCAGGAGTAGTAATTACTGTGGAAGTAGATGGTTTCGCTGTGGATGATGTCAATGTGGATAAAGTAGACGCAGGAGTAGTAATTACTGTGGAAGTAGATGGTTCCGCTGTAGATGATGTCAATGTGGATAAAGTAGACGCAGGAGTAGTAATTACTGTGGAAGTAGATGGTTCCGCTGTGGATGATGTCAATGTGGATAAAGTAGACGAAGGAGTAGTAATTACTGTGGAAGTAGATGGTTCCACTGTGGATGATGTCAATGTGGATAAAGTAGACGCAGGAGTGGTAATCATTGTGGAGGTAGATGGTTCATCTGTAGATGATGTCATTGTGGATAAAGTAGACGGAGGAGTAGTAATTACTGTGGAAGTAAATGGTTCCGATGTGGATGATGTCAATGTGGATAAAGTAGACGCAGGAGTAGTAATTACTGTGGAAGTAGATGGTTCCGCTGTGGATGATGTCAATGTGGATAAAGTAGACGGAGGAGTAGTAATTACTGTGGAAGTAGATGGTTCCGCTGTGGATGATGTCAATGTGGATAAAGTAGACGCAGGAGTAGTAATTACTGTGGAAGTAGATGGTTCATCTGTAGATGATGTCATTGTGGATAAAGTAGACGGAGGAGTAGTAATTACTGTGGAAGTAGATGGTTCCGCTGTGGATGATGTCAATGTGGATAAAGTAGACGCAGGAGTAGTAATTACTGTGGAAGTAGATGGTTCCGCTGTGGATGATGTCAATGTGGATAAAGTAGACGCAGGAGTAGTAATTACTGTGGAAGTAGATGGTTCCGCTGTGGATGATGTCAATGTGGATAAAGTAGACGCAGGAGTAGTAATTACTGTGGAAGTAGATGGTTCCGCTGTGGATGATGTCAATGTGGATAAAGTAGACGCAGGAGTAGTAATTACTGTGGAAGTAGATGGTTCCGCTGTGGATAATGTCAATGTGGATAAAGTAGACGCAGGAGTAGTAATTACTGTGGAAGTAGATGGTTCCGCTGTGGATGACGTCAATGTCGATAAAGTAGACGCAGGAGTAGTAACTACTGTGGAAGTAGATGGTTCCGCTGTGGATGATGTCAATGTGGATAAAGTAGACGCAGGAGTAGTAATTACTGTGACAGTAGATGGTTCCGCTGTGGATGATGTCAATGTGGATAAAGTAGACGCAGGAGTAGTAATTACTGTGGAAGTAGATGGTTCCGCTGTGGATGATGTCAATGTCGATAAAGTAGACGCAGGAGTAGTAATTACTGTGGAAGTAGATGGTTCAGCTGTGGATGATGTCAATGTGGATAAAGTAGACGCAGGAGTAGTAATTACTGTGGAAGTAGATGGTTCCGCTGTGGATGATGTCAATGTGGATAAAGTAGACGCAGGAGTAGTAATTACTGTGGAAGTAGATGGTTCCGCTGTGGATGATGTCAATGTGGATAAAGTAGACGCAGGAGTAGTAATTACTGTGGAAGTAGATGGTTCCGCTGTGGATGATGTCAATGTGGATAAAGTAGACGCAGGAGTAGTAATTACTGTGGAAGTAGATGGTTCCGCTGTGGATGATGTCAATGTCGATAAAGTAGACGCAGGAGTAGTAATTACTGTGGAAGTAGATGGTTTCGCTGTGGATGATGTAAATGTGGATAAAGTAGACGCAGGAGTAGTGATTACTGTGGAAGTAGATGGTTCATCTGTAGATGATGTCATTGTGGATAAAGTAGACGGAGGAGTAGTAATTTCTGTGGAAGTAGATGGTTCCGCTGTGGATGAGGTCAATGTCGATAAAGTAGACGCTGGAGTAGTAATTACTGTGGCAGTAGATGGTTCTGCTGTGGATGATGTCAATGTGGATAATGCTGTAGAGGAGGTTATTGTGGATGAGGAAGGTTCAGCCGTAGATGGAGTTATTGGGGATGAAGATGATTCTGCTGTAGAGGAGGTTATTGTGGATGAAGAGGTTTCAGCCGTAGATGGAGTTATCGGGGACGGAGATGGTTCTGCTGTAGAGGAGGGTATAGTAGTTGAGGAGGTTTCAGCCGTAGATAAAGTTATTGGAGACGAAGATGATTCTGCTGTAGAGGAGGTTATTGTGGATGAAGAGGGTTCAGCCGTTGATGGAGGTATTGGGGACGAAGATGGTTCTGCTGTAGAGGAGGTTATAGTAGTTGCGGAGGGTTCAGCCGTAGATAAAGTTATTGGAGACGAAGATGATTCTGCTGTAGAGGAGGTTATTGTGGATGAAGAGGGTTCAGCCGTAGTTGGAGTTATTGGAGACGAAGATGATTCTGCTGTAGAGGAGGTTATAGTAGTTGAGGAGGGTTCAGCCGTAGATGAAGATATTGGAGACGAAGATGGTTCTGCTGTAGAGGAGGTTATAGTAGTTGAGGAGGGTTCAGACGTAGATAAAGTTATTGGAGACGAAGATGATTCTGCTGTAGAGGAGGTTATTGTGGCTGAAGAGGGTTCAGCCGTAGATGCAGGTATTGGGGACGAAGATGGTTCTGCTGTAGAGGAGGTTATAGTAGTTGAAGTGGGTTCAGCCGTAGATGGAGTTATTGGGGACGGAGATGGTTCTGCTGTAGAGGAGGTTATAGTAGTTGAGGAGGGTTCAGCCGTAGATGAAGATATTGGAGACGAAGATGATTCTGCTGTAGCGGAGGTTATTGTGGATGAGGAAGGTTCAGCCGTAGATGTAGTTATTGGGGACGAAGATGGTTCTGCTGTAGAGGAGGTTATTGTGGATGAAGAGGGTTCAGCAGTAGATGGAGTTATTGGGGACGGAGATGGTTCTGCTGTAGAGGAGGTTATAGTAGTTGAGGAGGTTTCAGCCGTAGATAAAGTTATTGGAGACGAAGATGATTCTGCTGTAGAGGAGGTTATTGTGGATGAGGAAGGTTCAGCCGTAGATGGAGTTATTGGGGATGAAGATGATTCTGCTGTAGAGGAGGTTATTGTGGATGAAGAGGGTTCAGCCGTAGATGGAGTTATTGGGGACGAAGATGGTTCTGCTGTAGAGGAGGTTATAGTAGTTGAGGAGGGTTCAGCCGTAGATAAAGTTATTGGAGACGAAGATGATTCTGCTGTAGAGGAGGTTATTGTGGATGACGAGGGTTCAGCCGTTGATGGAGGTATTGGGGACGAAGATGATTCTGCTGTAGAGGAGGTTATAGTAGTTGAAGTGGGTTCAGCCGTAGATGGAGTTATTGGGGACGGAGATGGCTCTGCTGTAGAGGAAGTTATAGTAGTTGAGGAGGGTTCAGCGTAGATGAAGATATTGGAGACGAAGATGATTCTGCTGTAGAGGAGGTTATTTTGGATGAGGAAGGTTCAGCCGTAGATGGAGTTATTGGGGACGAAGATGATTCTGCTGTAGAGGAGGTTATTGTGGATGAAGAGGGTTCAGCCGTAGATGAAGTTATTGGGGACGGAGATGGTTCATCTGTAGATGATGTCAGTGTGAATAAAGTAGATGAAGGAGTAGTAATATTTGTGGAAGTAGATGTTTCATCTGTAGGTGATGTCAATGTGGATAAAGTAGATGAAGGGATAGTAATAGTTGTAGAATTAGATGTTTCATCTGTAGGTGATGTCAATGTGGATAAAGTAGATGAAGGGGTAGTAATAGTTGTAGAATTAGATGTTTCATCTGTAGGTGATGTCAGTGTGGATAAAGTAGATGAAGTAGTGCTATTTGTTGGATTAGTAGATGGTTCATCCGTAGATGATGTAAATGTGGATAAAGTAGAAGCAGCTGTAGGTTTTAGCGTGGAAGTGGATATAGAATGTATTGTACTTAATGTACTACTGTGTGGAATATATGTAGCAGAAGTAGTCCAGGTGGAAGACGGTTCGGTTTTGGTTGAATCCGTAGTGCTAGATGTGATTTGATTGTAATCCTAGAAAATTGTGATCATGTTGGTTAGATTATTTTTTTCCTTATTAAAGGATATATATTGTGGGGCAGAAGTTAGGGATATAGCTAAATATTCAATAAACAATAATACAACAATTATACAACTGTGTATATCAACTAAGTCACTTATCTCCATTTTTGTTTTTTTTTTATTCAAAGACAGAGATTATTAAGTTAAATTGATAAATTGTTTATGGTTCATTAGTTTATGGAATATTTGGGGAAAGTCAATAGAACAGGTGTACTACCTTTGGGCTATTGAATATTTTACTGTGTCATTACATTTAAGCAAGAAAGCAACTTTTATCATTTATTTTAATATTGTGGAAAAACTAAGCATTCTAGATAAAAACCTTCAACAGACGCCTTTCTTGAAAACAGTTGATCCTTAAAATTTTTTAAATTAAAAAATATTTATAAACAAAAAATATATTGCAAATTAAATTCGAAAGTCAGGATGTTTTTCAGTATAAGTAAATAATATACTTATACACTTAGAACACATTTCATAACGTGAATTTTTAGGTAGTTACTACATTCGCAAAAGATGGCACAAAGATGGCGGTTAAGTAGTTTTTAAACAATTATATTTGTTTATCCCATTTGAGAGAACTAATGTCATTTTCAAATGGCTGTACAGGTGTTTTGTGAATACTTTGATCTTTTGATCGGATTCTTCTTATTAAGTCTCAAATTTTCATGTTTTTTAAAAACTATAGTAATTTTCAGTTGTTTACTTACCAATAATTGATGCAGAATGAAGTACCGGTACTATTAAATTGGCAATATCCCTAACTTATGCAGCGCACTATATATATACTATTATTATAAAAAAAAAATATTATCGAATATAACCTAATGCACAACGTAATGCTATATATGACTTTAGTGATAGTGTCGAAATCTCGTTGTAGTTGTTCCCAATGCAATCCGATCGGAGTAATATAAATTTTTATCATAATTGTCTTATACATGTTCACTATATTGTTAAAGATATTTTTTTCCGTTATCTTACAATATTTCAATCTAAAGGGCAGTAAATTTTATGCTCTGTGTAATAATTCCATCATTGCCAATGTTTTGATATCATTGACATTCGGATTTGTTACAACTAAATATGATAAGAATGGTCAAATGTATAACATTTGCTACACATTTAGTACCTCAAATAGATACCATTATTATATTTTAGAAAATCATTTTTGTGAACTTTTATTATTAATCAAATAATATGTATAAAATTGATTAAAATTAATAAATATACTATGCCTACTTGCTGCCGAGGATTCTTGGGGGGGGGGGGGCAAGTCGACATTGAAAAAGAAGAAGAACAAGCAACTCCATATAGCAACATACAACATCCGCTCCATGGCAAAAGACGAAAAACTCTACGAACTAGAAGAGGAATTGGGGAACTTGAATTGGGACATAATGGGACTGTCAGAAGTTAAAAGAAGAGGTGAAGGATATGTGGACTTACATTCAGGCAACAGACTCTATTATAAATCCAGGGAAGACTACACATACGGTGGAGTAGGTTTCTTAATCAACAAGAAGAGAAAATCTCAAATTCAAATAATTGACAGCATATCAGACAGGGTTACAAACATGGTCTTAAAACTAAATCCAAAAACTAAAATAAAGATCGTGCAAGTTTGTGCTCCAACTGAAAAAGCAACCGATGAGGAAATAATTTTTTTTTACGAAGACGTTAAAAAGCTATATACAACAACAAATAATTCAAAATAATAATGGGAGACTTTAACGCCAAAATTGGAAGTAAGATTAAAGACTCTGAAAAGCAAGATTGGAAACTTCGGATTCGGCACAAGAAACACAAGAGGAGAAAAACTCATGAAATTTCTGGAACAAAAAAATCAAGTATGTTATGAATACCTTCTACAAAAAGAAACCTAACAGAAAGTTGACATGGAGAACTTAATAAAACAATTAGAAAAGAACTAAAACGCGACATACAAAAATGGAACGAGAACTTAATAGAGCGAGTCATTGAAAATGACAGGCTTAAAATGTCTAAGACCCGCACTTGGAGTTCAAAAAATCATCAAAATTAAAGACGCTAACAATAAGGTAGAGAAGGACAAATATAAAATAACAAATATTGTTGAAGACTTCTACACATCCTTGTACAGCTCGCAAGGCCAGCCTAATAATAATAATAATAATAATAATGTTTATTAATTCCATATACATTGTATAAAAGAACAATAATTTAAGTATGTTATTTACACATCGAAAAATAAACATCTGGTACTACCCGTTAAAACCAAAATGGTCGAGCACGGGCGTCGTGTGTGCATTGTGTATTTGATACATTAACAATTCAATAATTAAACTACATATAAATAATAAAATAATTCCAATTATACAATAATTTTATATTTCAGTTTGTATAACGTATTTTTATAATATTTTGATGATGAATACTATACTTATTTTGATTTTATAACTTTCAGATAAGCAAAACTATTACTAAACTATTACTATTATGACTGAACTATTAGTTGTTTAATCCATTAAATTTTGTATATAAAAGCGATCCAAATTGAGAATATATTTTTTAAATATTGATTTTATCATTACCAGTGAGTTGAGAGTAGTTAGGTATATTTTATATTTATCAGGTAAGGCATTGAATATTCTTGGAGCTTGATAGAGGACGTATCTTTGACCTAATCTTTTTTTGCTACTTCCAGTTTTAACATGTTTATTTGTTTTATTGCGGGTTTCATAGGGATGGCATAGTTTATGCAGTATATGTTTTCTATTATATATGTAGACTAACATGGAATACATATATATTTGTCTTGTATCCATTACTTTGGCTTCAATAAATAGAAGATGACTTGAGTAAGTACGTTGTTTATAGAATATTATTTTTAGTATTCTCTTTTGTAAAATATCAACTTTTTTTAAGTATGTTTTTAATACACCACCCCAACCAAGTATTCCATATCTAATTCTGGACTCAACAAGAGAATAATATAATATTTTTAAATATTTTTACATCAATTATTGATTTTATATATTTGAATTTTGGAACTAAAGCTCTCAAGCATTTTGCCAGTTCATTCAGATGCTTATCCCATCTTAGATGTGAGTCTATTGGCGATGTCAACGAACTATAGGGGGCGCTTTGACAGATGATCAGCTGATCACGCACGTAGGAAAACAAAACGGAGCTACCATAATCTTTGTAGGTGAATGATTGCTGTGTCTAAAAATTATCCGTGTTTATTACCTTCCATTTATTTTTTTATTAACGCAATGGCAGATAAAGAAATTGAAGTTAGTCTGCTCCATATTTTGAAATATATAGGAGACACAAAAAGACCTTTAAAAGAAAGCGAGGCCTTGTTAAAGGCTGGCCACGTTGTGTTGTGTGGCAAATAATAACAAATTAGTAAGTTTGTGTGTGCAAACGACTAATTTAAATTGTGCCCCACATGAAATCACTGTGGATGTGTTAAGAGACGAGTCTGGGTGGCAAAATGGACTTGTAAAGCCCGCCAGTGAGGAATGTGCGTGTTTTATTACGCATTAGTCTAGCATTCACCAGTTCCTCATTGATTTTTCTTTCGTGTTTTCCTTTAAGAAGGCATTGAGAGGGAACAACACCTTTCTTCGAAATTTATTTTGCCCTGCTGCAGAAAAATTTGAATTAAGATCTATTTTAGTGTATATATTTGGTTAGGGTAGGTAGGCACATTATATATAATAAATGTTGCAATTCTGTTCAGAAAATTTAATTGAAAAAAAATCTGTTGATAAAAAATGCTGTGAACACACCATCATATCACTTGATATCGATTTCCCAATTTTTAATCCCTGTGCACAACGATCTTATAGATTTTTGTCACGAGGAAAAAAGTGCATAGTTATTCCTTCCGATCGATAATTACTGCATTGCGGTGCAAAGCAATACGGTTTACATTTACTTTTTAACATTTTGTTACCTTATTGTGCTTTATTTAATAATATTTAAACTGTTTATAACTATGTTATGTGTGTAGAACTAAATACAAAATGTTTTGTTATCCTACGTGCACCAGTTCAAAATTTTACCGCACCGTGCCGCCTCTTTCGTTTGACATCGCCAATAGTTATACCCAGATATTTTATATTAGAGGCTGTTTTTATCGTTATGTTATTTTCCATATATTTAATGTTTATATGGTTAAATGAAGGTAGTGATACTTTGTTACTACAAAATGGAATAACAAACGTTTTTTCAAAGTTAATTGTTAATCCTTTATAATTGAACCATTGAACTATCTTAAACATATCAACTTCAATTTTGCTTTTTAAATCCTTCCATGTGTCTGCACTATACAAAAATAGCAGTGTCATCGGCGAAACTGATTATTTTTCCTTTGGTATTTATATTATATAAGTCATTTACATGTATGTTAAATAGTAGTGGACCTAAAACTGTTCCTTGGGGTACACCACATTGTAGGATAAGCTAATCACTGTAAGTGTTATTTATCTTCACAATTTGTTGTCTTTTGTATAAATAACTTTGAATTAACTTATGTGAAATTCCACGTACTCCGCAAGCTTCCAATGCTTCTAGAAGTTGCGGATGGCTGACCGTATCAAATGCCTTTGCTAAGTCTAGAAATACACAGGCAGTAGGTTTATTATTGTCAACTCTATCATATATGTTATTAACAAGTTCTGTAATTGCATCACTTGTAGAAATACCTTCGCGAAAACCAAATTGTGAAGATGATATAATATTATGTTTGTTGAAAAAGGTAGTTAGTCGAGATTTAAGTGACTTTTCAAATATTTTTGCCAATGTTGTGATTAGTGAAATAGGTCTATAGTTAGATAAACTACGCTTATCACCCTTTTTAAAGATAGGTGTTATAATAGTTTGTTTAAACTTATCCGGACACTCCCCTGTTTCAAATATTAGATTTATTAATTCAACTAATGGTTTTTTGAT